GGGATAAGCCCTTGTTGCTCCAGGTGGTGGGGCCCAAAGATTTAAAAGGGGAGGACCTGGGACTTCCCTGGTGGTCCAGTGGTTAAGAGTCCACCTTCCAATGCAGGGGATGTGGGCTGGATCCCTGGTTGGGGAACTATGATCACATATATCTTTCCACCAAAATAAATAAATAAATAGGAAAAGGGGAAAAAAAAAAAAACCCAGAACATAAAACAGAAACAATATTGTAACAAAATTCAATAAAGACTTGAAAAGTGGTCCACCTCAAAAAAATCTTTTAAAAGAATAGGCAATGGAGCTGAATAAACTTTTTTTTCCCAAGGGAAGAGACTTCTTCTATGGTGTAGACTCACCATTTATTAAGTGCCTGTTGTATACCGGTGCCGTGCTGCATTTGTGACATATATTCCTTCACCCACTGATTCCTTACTGAACCCTGTGTGTCTCATCTAATTCTCCTGCTCTTCATGAATATTTGGCTTTATTGTCCCCACTGTACAGATGGGGAGACCGAAGCTCAGAAGGTCAAGCCACTTAAGATTTCCAGGGTGACACAATAAAGACATTGCAGAGATGGACCTCAAACTCCCAAACCCACACTTTCCCCTCTATGGTTCTAACTGCCTCCTGTTTCTCAGGCAGACCCGCATTCAAATCCTGCCTCTGTCATCCTTGCTGTGTGAGCTTTCTGAGACTCAGCTGCTCCTCTGTAGAGTGGGGATAATAGCAGAGCCTGTATGGATCAGAGTAGAAGTGTGCGGGGGCTTCCCTGGCAGTCCAGTGGTTAAGAATCCACCTTCCAAAGCAGGGGACATGGGTTCAATCCCTGGTGGGGGAACTAACATCACACATACTGTAGAGCAGTGAAGACCCAGAGCAGCCAAGAAAAAAAAAAGACTGATGTGCATGACATGTGTGGTGTATAGTAAATGTCCGCTAAGGGCACCTGCTATTTTCATTGCTGCTATCGTTATTATTTCTCCATCTGTTGGGGATTGGACCCCATAATCTCCAAGTTCCCAGCGCAGACTCCCATCACAACATGGGGATGGCCAGCCCTGGTCCTTAACATTTGGGAGTGGCTCACGTGTCCAGATGAGCCCCTTTGTGGAAGGCAATGGCCGATGGCAAGAGGGGCGGCCAATTCTTCAGATGCTCCCAGCCCGCTTTCTGATCATCTGCCTGTTCCCACCAGGCAGCATTATGCGGGGTGTGTGAGCCTGGAGGGGGGCCGGGGAAGGAGGGGCTGCTTTCCCTGGGAGGCTGCCTTCTGTCGATAGACAAACAAACACAGGGCACACGCTTGCTTGGAAATGGAGCAAGGCATCAGCTACAAGCAAACAGGGGAGGCAGAGGCGGAACTTGCTCGAACCTCGCTGGCCACAGGCGCCTGCCTGCACAGCTCCACAGGAAGCAGCTGATGTCCCCTGGGGCCTGTTGCCCACAGCCTGGGCTGACCCGACACTGCTCCACATGGCACGTGGAGGCTCTCGTGGGCTGCAGTGTTTGCTTGGCATTTGCCACTGCCCCTCTGGAGGGCAGTGAGGGACCTCTGGAGGTCACTGTGGTTCCCCACCACCAACAAACTTCTGAGCAGCATTTCTAGGTAGAGAGTATCCACCCTGTGCCTCAGGCTGCAGGGCCCTTCAAGAGTGGCTAGCCTCCCCAACTACTCAGAGTACATCTTGGGTACCACCTTGAGAGAAACCTCAGCTGGGGAGACAGGCCTGGGACCCACATCCCAACTCTACCACCCTGATGCTGTGTGACCCTGGACAAGTCACCCCACCTCTCTGAGTCTCCCAAACCTCCCCATTAGTAAAATGGAAGGTATAACCACACCGTGGTTAGTGAAGGGATTAAAAACCAAGTATATAGAGTTCCTGACATACAGGTGGGCTTGATCAATCATGTACGTTGGTAGGATCATTACTATTTACTATGTCTTGAACCTCACTTTCCAAATCTGCTCATTGAGGATAATTCCACACCTACTCCAGAAACAATGAGCCTGTGTTGCTAAATATGTGTTGTGTGTGTGTGTGCTAAGTCACTTCAGTCATGTCCAACACTGTGTGACCCCATGGACTGTAGCCCGCCAGGCTCCCCTGTCCATAGGATTCTCCAGGCAAGAATACTGGAGTGGGTTGCCAGGCTCTCCTCCAGGGGATCGTCCCTAACCCAGGGATCAAACTTGTGTCTCTTATGTCTCCTGCATTGGAAGGCAGGTTCTCTACCACTAGCATCACCTGGGAAACCCTAATATATTTTTGCTTTATTTCTTGCTTCCCCTTGGCCAAGTACCTGGGTAACAATAACAACAACAACAATAATAATGGCTAAGTGTCTGGATATTGATTTAAACCTGTGCTGTCCAATAGATAGTCATTATGATTATTTAAATTAAAATGAAATAAAAAATTTGGTTTCCTGTCTCACAGTTACATTTGTAGTACTCAATACCCACATGAAGCTTGTGGCTTCCATGTCAGACAGCGAAGATATAAAACATTTTCATCATCACAGAAAGCTCTTTTGGACAACACTGGTTTAGACTAGTATGTTTCAAATTTAACATTGCATAGGAATCACCTGGGATAAACAAGGTTAAACATAGAGTCAAGCACAGACAAACCTAGACAACGTATTAAAAAGGAGAGATATCACTTTGCTGACAAAGGTCCATTTAGTCAAAGCTATGATTTTTCTAGTAGTCATGTACAGATGTGAGAGCTGGACCATAATGAAGGCTGAGTGCTGAAGAATTGATGTTTTCTAACTGTGGTGCTGGAGAAGACTCTTGAGAGTCCCTTGGACTGCAAGGAGATCAAACCAGTCAATCCTAAAGGAAATAAACCCTGAATATTCATTGGAAGGACTGATGCTGAAGCTGAAGCTCCAATACTTTGGCCACCTGATGCGAAGAGCATTGAAAAATACCCTGATGCTGGAAAAGATTGAGGGCAGGAGAAGGGGATGACAGAGGATGAGATGGTTGGATGGCATCACAAACTCTATGGATATGAGTTTGAGCACACTCTGAGAGATAGTGAAGGACAAAGTAGCCTGGCGTGCTGCAGTCCATGGGGAAGCAGAGAGTTGAACACAGCTTAGGGACTGAACAACTAGAAGAAACACAGACTCAGTTTCGGGAGGTCTGTGAGAGCCTGAGACTCTGCATCTCTAGCTCCCCAGGCTGCAGATCACACTTTGAGTAGGGTCTAGAGCTGGACTGCCCAGCACGGTGGCCACCAGACGCATGTGGCTATGGAGCACTTGACATGTGATGTATCGAAATTGAGATGTGCCCTAAGTGTAAAACACACAGTGGGTTGTAAAGACTTAGTGCAAAAAAATGTAAAATATCTCATTAATACTTTTTAATTGATTGTATGTTGAAATAATATCCTAGACACCCTGGGTTGAATAAAATATATTTTAAAAATTAATTTCAGCTGTGTCTTTATACTTTTTCTTTTTAATAAGGCCAGTAGAAAATTCAGAATAACATATGTGGCTCACATCTTTCTATTGGACTGTCGTGATCTCAGCCCTGAGTGTCACTTATGAGCTATCTCATTGCAGATGTACAATTTTAACCCATGTCTTTTTACCTCTGCCCATTCTGTTTCTTTTCCCCCCTGTCCCTGAATTGTTTCCTGAGCATTTTTCACTCCAATCAAAGGGTAAAATCCTCACTAAAAGAGGCTGTGTCAGTCTGCCCCCTTCCATCCATCATAGCACAAAATGTCACCTCCACTTGTTTGAATCTGTCTCGCTCTAAAGAAATAATAGTATCTTTCCTGACCTTCCTTTTTGGAACTTCCCCTTCCCACATGCTCAGGTGGCATGTCTTGAATGGGGCTCACCCTCCTGGTCTCTGTGAGTGATTGTGTGACCCGGGTTTGGCCAATCAGAGCACGGAGATGGAGCTAGCTGTGAAGACCAGAGGCAAAAGCCGTCTAGACAGAGAAGATGGAGCAAGAACAAAGATCATGAAAGTTGAGAATTCTTGGCTTTCCTTAGGGGTGCAGGTTCTGGTTCCCTCACTAACTCTAGGAAAGCCTCGGCTTCCTCATCTAGAAAATGGGCACAGTCTACCCAACCCTGAGTTATGATGAAGATGGTGAGAACACGCTGACGGGAATGACTGTGGCTCACCTAATCTTGCCAGCTATTGTGGGGGTGGCAGACAGGTTGGCTGTGAGGCTGGCACAGGGGCGGGTCCTACACAGTTGCTGTGGAAACAGCCTCTGGGATGCTCTGCGGTATGAAGGAAGATGCGAAGACTCCAGGAGGGGACATTCCTCCTTCTGTGCTACAGGCAGAGGAAATGGAGCTTGTGAGGCTTGCCAGGGTAGAACTGAGCTCCCTTGATTTTAAATAACAACGCTGTCTTAGCGTGACGCAGTTCTTACAAGGCACTTGGTACTGTTCTGAGCATCTCCCACGCATATTATATGAGGTTAATTCTAATCGTGTGGGAGAGGTACCACCGTTGTCCCCATTTTCCAGAGGAGATGCCTGAGGCTTGTGCCCTCTCAGCCCAATCTCCCCTGACAATGAACTTGTCCATTGAGCTGCTGGCTTAGGGCAGCGGCTTCCCAGGTAGCTCAGTGGTAAAGAATCCGCTTGTCAATGCAGGAGATGTGAGTTTGATCCCTGGGTCAGGCAGATCCCTTGGAGAAGGAAATGGCAATCTGCTCCAGTATTCTTGCCTGAGAAACCCCATGGTCAGAGGAACCTGGCAGGTTATAATCCATGGAGTTGCAAAAGAGTCAGATATGACTTAGCGACAAAAGAACATTTTGGGGGGAGGGCAGCGGTCCTTACTATTTTGTGTCCTCCTGCATGTCTGCACCTAACACTTCCTGGTAGAGATGAAGCCTTAATATACATCAGTAGCTGTTATTAATAATATGTACTTATTTGTGTCCCCAAGTGGTGTTTTTAATTTTTTTTTAATTTTGAATTTTTAAATTTATTTTTTTAGATAGGAGATTCATATTTTATTTCCCCACTGACATATTTACAGCTGGATATAAATTAAAGACCTGCTTGCACACCAAACCCAGGTCCTTTCGGTGGTTCAGTCAAAGAGGTAAGACCTCCAGCTGGCTCACAGGAGAGGCGTCCACTCCTTGGCCCAGGTTTGGGGATTTTGCCAGCCTTGAGTTCATCAATAATTTCTTCAATATCTTTAGGTGTCAGATCCTCATAGTAGTTGTCATTTATTTGAACCATTGGTGCATTTACACAGGCCCTTAAACATTCCACTTTTATAAGAGTGAAAAGCTTGTCAGGTGTAGTCTCTCCAACCTTTATTCCAAGTTTTTTCTGAATGGCTTCCAGTATGCTGTCTGAGTTTCGGAGCATGCAAGGCGTAGTAGTGCAGACCTGAATGTGATACTTTCCAACAGGCTTTCAATTATACATTGTATAAAAAGTTGCTACTTCATACACTCTCATTGGAGGTACCTGTAAAATTTCTGCAACCTTGTTCATAGCAGAGATGGGCAGCCATCCATTCTGTCTCTGGGCTAAATCCAGAACTGGAAGCACAGCTGCTGCTTTATGCCCTTCCGGGTAGTTTTTCACAATGGCCTCTATCCTCTTATAGTTTTCTGGTGTGAAATCAAATGGAGTTTCTGGGTTATTCTCAGGAGTATCTCTGTGCACAAATAAGGCTCCTCCAGCTCCATTCTGAACAGCTGTCTTATGCAGATTTCTTATATGTTTTCCCCAGTGGGCGGCGAGGCCGGCCGCGCGGGCCCGTAGCGCCGCGGAGAGGAACATGGCTGGCCAAACTGCGAGGCTCCGGGCCTCGCCGGGCACGGTCCCCAGCGGTCGGCACGCACAGAGTGCCCAAGTGGTTAATCTTTCACACAAGAGTGCCATCTCCACGTGGGCTGGGATTTTTGTCTGTTTCACTCATCCCTGTCTACCCAGTACCTGGCATGGTGCTGGATACACAGTAGATACTCAATCAATACTTATTGAATGAGAGATTGTATGCCTTTGGTTGAGTCCCGGCTGATCACTGAACAGGATGAGCTCCATCGACCTGTCCCTTTAAGAACCTTGTCTTCCCTTCCCTTCTCTGGTCCCCAAAGTTAATTAAGTGCCCTGCCTCTGCAGGGTTAATCCTGTTATCAGCGACTTGACACACATTAGCTGTGTGTTTACTATTTCTGGACTGTATCCCTCCACCCCCAATTAAACTGTCCATCGCTGGATCCCACAGAACCTGGCACATAGTAGATGCTCAATTCATTTGCATGGAATGAGTGAGTTGACATCTCCCTCATTACATTTCCAAGCAAGGAGATGTGTTTAGACGCTGGGAGATGGTGTGATGACATGGACCAATCTGCCAGTCTGTAGAGAGAATGGATTCTGTCTGGAAGGGATGATGGGTAAATGTCAGCAACACTCCCTAATGCAGGGTTTGGGACAGAGACCCTATTGAGAAGTAGGGATAGGCAGCATGGGGCTTCCCCAGTGGCTCAGTGGTAGAGGATCCGCCTGCAATTCAGGAGTGGCAGGAGACGAGGATCTGATCCCTGGGTCAGATAGATCCCCTGGAGGAGGACATGGCAACCCACTCCAGTATTCTTGCCTGGAGAATCCCACAGACAGAGGAGCCTGGCGGGCTACAGTCCATGAGGTCACAAAGAGGCAGACATGACTGAAGCGACTTAGCACGCACACATAGACAGAACGGCCTTTGGCATTCCTTCTTTCAGGGCATCCATGTCTGGGAGACAAGGGCGTGCAGGAAAGCCTCTCTCTCTGGATGTGACCTTTAAAGCCAGCAGCCCCTGACAGCATGTGGGGTGCTCTTGGCCGCTTGCAGATATCCTTGGCTCAGCCGTGCCGTCTCAGTGGCAGGTGCCCTGAGCCAGTACGAGAACAGGTCTCGATGTCCCCGATGACTGCTGGAACGCTGAGTACCCTGAAGTGGAGAGTGAAGCTGGCTCTGTCTGACTCAGGGCTGGGTAGCTCAGCCACCTGAGACCCTGGCCCATCTGGAGTGTGGGTGGTCCCCTGCCCCCCTCCCTGATGGAAGAGCCTCCAGTTCATTCCTTCCTCCCCTGTCCCCCGCCCCATCTCTTGTTTCCCTGCTTGCCCAGTGACCTCATCCCAAAGGGCAGGTCCTGTGTCTTCGCTGGAGAGGGGCTCTGTGACCCAGCTCCCCTCAACCCCTGATGGAGTGCCCACACGTCCTCTGCCTCCCCCCGCAGGGCAGGTGTTCAGCTGCAACGGGCTTCCGCCGAGATCAGCCAAGCCTGAGCATGATCCTAAGACACACCAGGGTCGAATCCTGCTCCGCCACCTGTGCCGTGCCTGTGCCTGGGCAAGGGACCTTGCCTCTCATCCATCGAAGGGAGAGTCATGCTACCAGTGACGTAGTCAAGGCTCCCAGAAGCCGAGACAGGAAAAGAGACGTGATGCAGAAACCCGAACAGAAAAGGGCCCCAAGGAAGGGTATTCACCCCACCCCCATCCCCAGACTTTATCTCATCCCACGGGGCACAGAGGGGCCCCGTCTCTTTCCATGGGGCTTCTTTTCTGGTTCGGTGGGCCCACCCCTCAGCTGATGCAGGTGCTGCTACTCTGCTTTCACTCCGGCAACTTTTCCCCGCAGGACTGCCCTGGACGATGATGGAAGCGGCCTTGTTGGAACTGCCTTGGAATGACATGTGCCTCCCCAAGACACCTGGGTGGCCTGTAGCCAATGGATGACTCATGTGGGGGTATAGAACCCCACCCCCTTGCCTTCAGGTGGGACAGGCTCTGCGGTGCAGTTTACCATCCAGAGCTCCCTTGGGGATCAGGTTGGGACTAGATGTCGCATCTTTGCTTGGCTTCTCCCCTTGCCCATTCCTTCCTCCCTCATTCCCCTCGAGTGTCATCTGAGAGCTTTCTCAGTCAGTCACTGACTCTTTATGAAACCCCATCACAAATGTGCTTCTAGAGAACTCACCTAGGGTTCCCTAAGACAGAGACTTTAGATGAACTTGTGGAAGCAAGTGGATTGTTTAACTGTTTGTTGTTGTTTAGTTGCTCAATCGTGTCCAACTCTTTGCGACCCCGTGGACTATAGCCCACCAGGCTCCTCTGTCCATGGCATTTCCCAGGCAAGAACACTGGAGTAGGTTGCCATTTCTTTCTCCAGGGGATCTTTCTGACCCAAGGATCAAACCTGCATCTCTTGCATTAACAGGCACATTCTTTACCTTGCTAAGCCACTAGGGAAGCCCTTGCTTAATCATAAGTTGGGTCTAATGACCCTGTTTTTGGCCAAGCATTTCAACTTCCTTTCAAGAAGCCCTAACAGCACTGGAGATTCAGAAGCAGCGGTCAGATGTTACCGACAATTGCTATGAGGTCTACGACAGGGCTCCACAGATAGTGGAGGATGCAGTAAATATTTATTGAGTGAAAGACCGGGATGAATCATTGTTTCTGGTGATGGGGAAGCAGGAGCTTCTGGAAGGACAGAGAATGTGCAACTGCCTTCCTGGAGCAGGTCTCAGGATGTACTCAAGCTCAGGGACAGGCTGGGTGTATTGAAATGCAGGTCAGGCGCTTGGATCCTCAGAGCTTCAGCAGGGGCTTAGTCTAAGAGGCGGCTGGGCCCCAGAGGACAGCCCGGGCAGGGAAGGGAGTCGTGATCACAGCAAAGATGATAAGAGCTTGTTAAACAGAGAGCCCTCCTGGCAGATGGTCAGTTGGCTCCCGGGGAAGGAAAGCCCTTTCCCATTGGGGATCCCAGAAGTCTTGAGACCAGCGGAGCAAATCGTGCCTTCCTGAGTTAACAACAACAGTACTCATACAGACAAAGCATTTAACAATTATATAGCCGACACTGTTCATGCACGTTGTTTATGCTTCATCATAACCCCATCAGGGACACATTATCATGCCCATTTCACAGATGAAGAAAATAAGGCTCAGAGAGCGGAAATTATGTGCCAAAGGTGGTGGAGACATCACAGACGTGATTTGAAGTGGCGTTGACAGCACAGCCTCCACACCAGCAGTCCCCTGCCATTTCAGCACCAGGGACCAGTTTTTTGGAAGACAATTGTTCCACAGACGAGGGCCGGGGGATGGTTTCAGGATGATTCAAGCACATTACATTTATTGTGCACTAGTGGCCCAGTTTAGTAAAGAATTTGCCTGCAATGTAGGAGACCCCAGTTTGACCCCTGGATCAGGAAGATCCCCTGGAGAAGGGCATGGCAGCCTACTCTAGTGTTCTTGCCTGGAGAATCCCATGGACAGAGAAGCCTGGTGGGCTACAGTCCATGGGGTTGCAAAAGTCAGACAGCACTGAGTGGCTAACACTTTCATCTTTTTGAATTACTGTAACATTGTGATAGATAAAGAAATAATTATACAACTCACCACAATGTAGAATCAGTGGGAGCCCTGAGCTTGTTTTTGGGCAATTAGATGGTCCCATCTGGGGGTGATGGGAGACACTGACACCCGAAGTGTATGATGGGGAGTGGCTGTAAATACAGATGAAGCTTCGCTTGCTATCCCACTGCTCACCTCCTGCTGTGTGTGCCCATTCTAGTACTGGGCCATGGCCTGGATGTTGGGGACCTCTGCTTTACACAGTCAGCCGGTGCTGAGTTTAGAAGGATAATAAGAAGTAGGTCGGGAAAACTGAGGCATGAAAATTATTATAAATGTTATAAAATCAGAGAACATCTCCAGGTGGATATAGAAAAAGCCAATAACAGTGGTTGTCATGAGTTGGTGATAGAAGGGAGATGTTTACTACATACAGTTTACATTTGTTGATTATTGAACCATGGTGCCGTAGGTGACAAAACTGGTCCCCAGTGTTCCTCCACCCCCCCATTCACACCTTCTGCCGTGTGATCTTTGTACTCCTCACTCTGCTTGACCCTGGAGATATGATGGGAGTGAAACACACTTGGAACTTGGCCTTGATTTTGTAAGCAGCAGGGAAGACAGTGCGTGTATGCTCAGCGGTGTCTGGCTCTTTGCAACCTCACGGACTGTAGCCCACCAGGCTCCTCTGTCCATGGGATTTCCCAGGCAAGAATACTGCAGTGGGTTGCATTCCCTCCTCCAGAAGGAAGACAGGGACTTAGCCAATTGTTCAGTTAACTCATTACTGTTGGGGGACAGGCAAGTGAAAAGCACGAAATGTGTCCTTGGTGAGTCCGAATCTGAGCTTTGCCCTGTAACCAGCTGGGTTGCCGCGGCTGATTGACTGATCTCTCTGTGTCTTGGTCTTCTCATCTGGGGACCGTGAGAGTTAAGACAAGTGACTTATAGCATTTAGAGAGCACTGGCTCCTGGTAGGTGCTCACGATTCTTGTTATTGTGGCTGTTGCTGTTGTCTCTGGACCCGGCTGTCCCTTGACAGGAAGCTCCCACCTGCGTGGCCATCTTATCTGGGACGAAGGCTGGTTTCAGTGGCCCTTCTCTAACCCTCTGAATTCTAATCCATCTTTAATGCCGCTGGAGGAAGGAGCTTTGAACGGGCACCAGTTCCGGCCGCTCCCGCTGTCCAGCGGCCGATCCTGGTCTTTCAAGGGCATGACAAGGCTGCCAAATCCGCTCCAGGGACCTAATGCGATTGTCTCGCTTCCGCAGCTCCGCTGGGAAGCCTGAGCTTGGGGCTTTGGGTTGGGCTTCCGGACGCCCCCAGAGCCGGGGAGGCCCCAGAGGCTTCTTGTGGGATCCTAGCCGGCTGGGGAGCAGAGTCCCGAGTGAGCAGAGCCAGGGTGGAGGAGGCCACGCGGAAACACCTACTGTGTGCTGGACAGGATTCAGCCT